AAACGAATAGATAGATAGATAAATTGATATGTGGGGCCATCTAGTGTACCTAAATTTATATAGAAATTTCCATAAAAGTGACCCGAAAAACGGGGCTAACTCGGTAACCCGTGGCCCGATTTTAACGAAACTTGTTTTATTTTGTTTCTATTCTCATTTCATTACAAATATGGCGGTATTGTGCGCCGTATTTACTGTATTTAATTACAGACAAGCAAGCAAACAATCTCAGAGTTTTAGTTGAATATAGATAAAAAGGAAAATAGGTCTCATAGATTAATTTACTCTAATCCTGCCTAAAATAATTTCAAGAGCCATGGCTATTGAGGATTTCCACTTGTTTGTAATGAAAACGTTTTTACAACCTTTTGACTAAATTAAATTAATTAATATTTTCAAGAATTAATATTTCATGCGTATTTTAATAATGATGGATACATCTGTGCAATATTTGTTTCAATACTTAAAAAACGTTCACATGTAAACATTTACATTGATCGGACGTCTCAAGGTCATAAACAAACAGGTAAAGGTTACATACTGCAGCATTTACTAGTATTAGGAAAACAATTATCGCTAAATAAAAAAAATAAAAAATCTATGTAGGGCTGGCTACTGAACTGGAAAAACGGGACCAAACAAGATACGGATGTAAGTGAACGTATCACTTGATCCAGCTAATGATCATATTGCAGACTAAGCTGTCTCGACTTTACATGGAGAACAAAATTCCTACATTACTGGCTTCCACACTTTGTCTATCGAAGGCTTGGTGTTTGAACAGAATCTCAGCTTTCATAATTATACCCTTCCTTTAGTTAACTTTAGAATACTACTTTTCTGACTACTTTACAATAGAGTTACATTTTACGATTGGAAATTATGATTCTATTTGTTTTGCTAGTGAGAAAGCCAGTAATGTAGAGTCTTTATTCTCTATGTAAAGTCGAGAGAGCTTAGTCTGCTATGTGATCATTATCCTAATCAAGTGATATGTCCACTTCCATCCCTATCTTGGTTTGGTTTGGTTCTTTTTTTCATGTTCAGTAGCCAGTCCTACATATTTTTTTTATTTAGCTATAGATATTTTTCCTAATACTTGTTTGCTTACTTTTTTTATAAGGTGACGTACTGGATTACTAGGTTATAAAGTGTTTTCTAAAGCTTTACATATTTTGCATTGAATAATAATAATAATAAGTAGTCAAAGATCGTGAAGACTGTTTGGCTCTATGAAATAGTGAAAAAAATTATAGTTACTGCTATCACTAGGTCTATAGAAGAAAGATGGTGATGAAAGGAAATAAGAAATCTCGGTTTTGGCTATGTGATGCTCTAGATACCTGAAAAGAGGCATATACATCAGAGATAGAGCGACTGTGCCAGGTAACTCTTTATATCTCGTTTTTGATTATTTGTGGAGAAGAAAATCCAGGTGACTTTTGTATATACGTCCGTGCCATCCCTACATAGAGAGTGCTAGCGCATTCTCCAATTATTAAGTCTCAAGCTAGCATTTGTGAATCTCCGTATGGAGTTCTGAAAAGACAAACTATTCAAACAGGCAATACACAAACATGTACTCCTGGTTTGGCTTAATATTGCATGTAAAGTATTAGATGAAGTATGTAACCAGTGGACTTGTGGGATACTTCTGTTTCCTTGTTTCTCTTTTATTGTCAGCACTCAATTTATTCTTTGTTTAACAAACCTGAACCTGCATTTTGCAGAATATATCACGACTAAACCAATTGTGGCAGTAACTCTGCAATTGACAAACTGTTATAGTACGAAATCTTTAAATACTGAACAATTAATTTTATGCAACTTCCAATGCACAAATATAAAAGGTGTGTGGAACATGCATATCACAAGATGTAGTTCAAATTTGGATCCCTTGAACTATCACATTCACATGTTTGGATATTTCTGGTTAGATCTAAAAATAATATATTCCAGTTCAAGCATTACTTATTATTTTTATTATTCTAGACTTCATGCATATGAAACCAGGATTATTATAATTTAAAGAAACTGTGTATCATATCTAAACATTAGAGCATTGTATTATTTTGTAGATCTTACACTTTATCCACTCTTAACACATATATACTTGCGGGTCCAGGATACTATCCTCAACTGATTCGTTTATCTCCTCTTAGTCTTCTACTAACTGAAACCAACCACTAAAGCATTCGTAGGTTCTATAGAAATCATAATTAGGAAGAACAGAACATGAATAGATAACATTAATACTTTAACTTAATAACAGATGCTACAGCTAGTGTAGTTACAGGACTAGGTGATGTCATGTTAGTTTGTACTCTAATCAACCAGGTATTTTAAATTAAGCTGGTGGGCTAATATTTCTATATCCAGTTTTGTGCTTGATGTGGTTTTCTTCTGGTAAGCTCAAGTAATATAACATATAAGTCAGATTTTATGCTACACTGTCCGCTAAGTAAAAAAAAAAATGTTGAATTTAAAATTATATGCAACTTAAAGCAGTACTTAAGAAAGACCAGTTGAAGTAAAAATCATATCATCATCTGAACTAGTTACATCAGTGTTAATAATTTCATATAAAAATTTATCTACAATACATAAACGTTTTTATAATTCTAAATAAACCTTTGTGTGATTATATAAGTTGTAATGTTATATACAATCTCGACACTTTCACTCAAGCAAAGGCACTTGACTCCCAATCTGAGGGTCGCGGGTTCGAATCCCCATTCCACCACACATGATCGCCTATTCAGCCGTGGAGGTATCATAATGTGACGATCAATCCCACTATTCGTTGGTAAAAGAGTAGCCTAAAAGTTGGCTGTGGGAAATATTGGCCCAGGAGCCTTATCGTTTTTTTAAACTTCCCCTAGCTCAGAATTAATGCAGTGATCTTGTTTCCATTTATCAAATGTTCAAGATGTGGAATACTGCTTAAATCTTTGTTAGTAAAAACCGAAGAAAAAGCAAAATTTAATAACCCAGCCATCTCATAACCATCAGATATTAGCTTTCCTTTACCATCCCTCAAGGGTCCTGCCACAATCCTAACATTTTGTTTACCCTTAATGTATTTAAAGAAATCGTTACTGTTAATTTTTACATTTTCAGACAACTTTTTATAACACATCCTTTTAGATGTCATAATTTTCTGTTTTCCAACTTTCTTGATCTTCTAAATTCCCTGTCATTCCAGTCAATTTAAATTTCTTAAACTTATGATGGTTTTCTTTAATTTTACCTTTTAAACTCTTTGTGAGCCAACCTGGTTTTTACTTGCAGTTACCCTTTTCTTTAATAAGGAATATGTTTACCTTGAATATTTTAAAATTTTCCACATCTGTTCTTGTTGCATCCCTTCAAAATTTGCTTTTTTAAAATATGTAACCAAAATATTATTATTCCTTATCTCCATATGCAGCAAAACATCGAACCTAATAGCGCAACGATCACTTGCATCCAGATGTTCCCCAATTTCCACTCTCTCGATAATTTCTGTATTTGAAGTTAACAATAAGTCTAAAATAGCATTGTTTCTGGTTGGTTCCTTGACTAACTATTGAAGAAAGCCATCCTGAACAGTTTCCAAAAACCCTTTTCTTCATGGTTTGACTATAAAATCTCTCAATCTGTATGCCTGAAATTAAAATCGCTCATAATTATGACTTCGTTAACAGCTGAAATCTTATTTTAACTGTAAAGTTTCTCACTAATTTCATCAGTATAATTTGGTGGTCTGTAACAACTTCCCACTAAAAGCCTTTTCCCATTATATCCATTAATAGAAACCCAAATGGATTCAATTTCTTTGCTATTGTCTTTATCCTCAACTTCAACAGGATGTAACTCACATTTTACATATAAAGACACTCCTCCCTCTTTTTTTAATACTCTATTCATATTAAATAGCCTGTAATCCTGTATTTCCAAGAAATTTGTCATCAAAATCATCTACGTTTAACCATGTTTCAGTTATACCCATTACAATCAAAATCCTCCATTCCTACCAGTACTCTAAAGTCATCTACTTTATTTCTCATACTTTAAGTATTACAATAGTAACAATTAAGCCTATCCTTATTACTACTTCTATAATTATTTCTTATGCTAAACTTTTTTCTGCTTCTTTTTGGAATTTAGTTTTTCCTAGCCCTCTGTCTAGTCCACTGTCTAGTTCTAGTTGAAAATATTCCATATGACATAGTGGATCGCTCTCAGACGTGATTTTCCGGGTAAAATGTGGTCGGCGAGGTAAGCCAAAAATGGTGCATGCCAACAGGCTTTGGCGTTATCACGGTCCAGGACATTTCAGTTGGGATGAAGTGGACAACAGAACAAATGACGCTGCTGAAGACGTGCCACATGAAGAAGCCACCATCGAAGAAGAAACTCTACTCAGTTTTGAGAAGGGAAACGGTGAAGCTCTTGATGATGTGATTGTTACCGACGATAGGAC